AACCCACCGTCGCTGGTGGGAAGGGTGGGTAGAGTTTTATTGACAAAGAGTTGTGGTAATACAGAATGATTACTTGTAGTTATTTTAATATATTTGTACAACCAAGAAATACACAATATAATGTAATCTGTCTCCTATGTGAAATATGGAATATTTCAACAATGGAAATTATCACAAAAAGACGATAAATATTAATCCCAAGTCTTCCGTATTGACTTATTCTAATAGTTCACTCTACAAACACATTTTGGTTGTAGTTATATCTGTAAAACTGCACCCAGGGGTTAAAGGTATACTACCTATTTTTTCAAACTTGGCCAAATGAGTCCTGGTTCCTTATTTCAATCTAGCCTTTGAGCTAGGAATACTGTAAGATTACTTAAAATAAAATATATCCTTTAAAGTTACACTACCTCTTAAGATGACTAAAAATTTCAATTTTTAAACTTGGCTAAATGAGTCTATGTTCAACAGAATCCCTCTATAATCCAATAAATCTATAAAACTAAGTAATAACCCAGTAAACCAAGTAATTTTGATACATGCTTAGAAGCGTTTTTCAATAATTACTTTAATGGATAGATCGTGTTATATAGAGATTGCACCTGGTAAGTCAAACTGATGAATAACATATACTCTTATTGTCAAAGTTAGAGACTTTAAATTTTATGTCCATTCTAATAGGTAGTAACTCTTTAATAAAGGAGGAGAAAACTGTCGTTTGGTAAGTAGAAAAGGGCTGGTCACCTTGCACTCAGTTCAGTTTGACTTGTCCAAATAAATTTATTTATTAATTTTCATGGAGATTTATGTATTTTAATATATAAGAAAAATTTGTTTTATTAGTCAGGCAGCTAACGAGAGAAAAGGGGGTGTTCAATTTACTTTTTACAAGATGTTTTGACATATTTCAACAAATATTCAAAGGGACAGGCTCGCCATTTTTTATTTGGGTCTTGAGTATATGTACAAAGTCTTCGTAAGTACTAGAAATGTACAAAAATCGCTAAATGCCCTCAAAAATATCACTAACTAGGAATTCCTCTATTTCTATACGCATGTCTATTCTATATATGACAGAGTCTCAGGAAAAGGCGAGTCGTCTTTTTAACTTTCTAACGCGGATAATTCTGGACACACATGGGTTTGAAAGCTCAAATTTCGATGGTGAGCAGTGAACACTATTACTGATAAGCTTAGCTGAAAAATTTCCGTTTCTGAGACTAAGGTACAATTGGTCAAACGGATGGCGCAGTTGTCACTATAGACTGATAGGGTTCAGTTTTAGCGATCCGTAGTACTTTTCAGAATAAACAGACAACATCCAGTTTGTAGTGAAAATATTTAGAAGACTTTAACAAAGAAGATCAATGATAGAAAAAATCGTAGAAAAATTTTTTGTTATATCTATTTTATTTTTTTATTTGAAAATGTATATGTATATGATTGGAGAATGTTTGTTTTCCCGAAGGCACGTGGTATATACAACGTTTCGATTTTATTGCCCTTGTCCTTGTGTGTGTGGTAGGCCTAATCAAATTGGCATTGTCAATCCGAAATGACTAGGTTGCACAACAATACAGAAATGAAATGAAAACTATAATTTTTAAAACGATGATATTAAAAACATAGTTTGGTTTCCAACTTTCAAATTATTTAAATTATTATCAATATAATCAGATTTATTAATAAATATTATTATATTAAAAAAATTTAAAAAAAATTAAAAAAAAGTTTTATTTCGCAGCTGTTCTGTACCCTATAGGGCTAATGAAATCAAACGAAGTTTTAAGTAAAGGTTTTCTCTAACCTACTGGACTAATGAAATGAAATATAGCTTTATATCCTACTGTTCTGTAACCTACTGGACTAATGAAATGAAATAGAGTTTTATATCCTACTGTTCTATATCTTATTAGACTAATGAAATGAAATGTAGTTTTATATCCTACTGTTCTGTATCTTATTGGACTAATGAAATGAAATATAGCTTTATATCCTACTGTTCTATATCTTATTGAACTAATGAAATGAAATAGAGTTTTATATCCTACTGTTCTATATCTTATTAGACTAATGAAATGAAATGTAGTTTTATATCCTACTGTTCTGTATCTTATTGGACTAATGAAATGAAATAGAGTTTTATATCCTACTGTTCTATATCTTATTGAACTAATGAAATGAAATAGAGTTTTATATCCTACTGTTCTGTAACCTACTGGACTAATGAAATGAAATAGAGTTTTATATCCTACTGTTCTGTATCTTATTGGACTAATGAAATGAAATAGAGTTTTATATCACATTTATCTGTATCTTATTGGACTAATGAAATGAAATATAGTTTTCTATCCTACTACTATCTGTACTTTCATGGACCAATGAAATGAAATGGAGTTCCACGCCTCATTTTGGCTAATCGAATGAAATCAAAGTTCACACACCACTGAGCTAATGAAATAAGTTGAGTTTAATATCCTGTTGGATGAAACAGAATGAATTTTTACACCACAGTATACCTTAATGACCATTAAAAACGGTTACCTTTACAGATCTAAATCAGAGTGTTTAGACACCTGTTTAGCAAGGGAGTTATTTTAATGTATTATTACAAGTAAGATATTTACAAGGGACCTAATTAAGGCGATCTAGACGTAACGTTCAACTCTTTACCTGTTTAACCTGATAAGTTTTTAAATTCCTTTCAAGGGCCAATAACATCTATATCTTAATGGCAAAAGATTTTAAATTTCTACGTAATAGCTAAAATCTAAAAAGACTTTTAGAGTCCAACACTTTTTGTCTAATTAATTTTATTGATTAATAGAACAAGATTCTATGGTATTTTACTCAAGAGTTATTGCACACGAATGAGGGGGCGAATTTCAACCGGTGGAGAATTTCAATCAATCAATCAACGAGAGCCATTACCCGTAGTTACAATCATTCAGATGTTTCTTTTGTGTTCATATTTACAAAACAAAACATAAAACAACTATGTGCAAACGTGCTGATTGATTCGTTTGAAAATCACGTGACAGTGAGAATATTCATTCTCATCGTACCTTAAACGGGTTTTATCTACTAAAGTGTAACCACGTTAACAATATGTAATGAGACATGTTGAAAAGACTATAAGCTGTACAATGCTTCTTTGAAAATTTGAATAACCCGGAAACGGATTGTTTTTTCAGTACTTAGTTACACGGGCATCGAAAGGAAATCCCGAAAACAAATTGTAAGTGACTCCGCGCCACAAAGAAAGTCTACGGTTAAAATTTTCCTTCATGCTTTTATTTTAGTTCGTGTTTACTAATCATGCCGACATCTAACATTTCCGAACTATCAATCATTAACATGATATTTGTAAAGTCTCGATCTATGGTTTTATATAGATGGTTGTCTATAGAGGTATGATAATTAGGTTTCGGGGAAGGGAGTACAATATAAAGTGCAATGCATGTTTTAAGTCTTGTACGAAGCTAATTATTAAGGTATTTTAAGTGGATAATTTGTAGGATCGGGCTGACTGACGATTCAAAACGTGTTTCATCGGATCCACCGCGATCGACATAAATGGATATAATTCGACAGACTGCAAAGAACCGTGAAAGTTCTGCTAGCTCTCTGCACAGCTTTACGGAAACTGTCGAAGATTATCGAATGACTAAGGGTCACTAATAAATCGGATCAATTTTCGGATATTCAATACTCAAAGTTGTTTTTTTTTTCAGCTCCACGGTCATTGTTTTCGGAATTTACCTGATAGGGCGTTAACCAAATATAATATAAGGCAAAACAATAATTTTACTCAAAGATTAGTATCGATATTGGGCCTGGACGACTCTCAACAACAACATGCAAAAGCAGAGTTTACTTGGCTGGTCTTCTTGGTCATAAATCTTTAACCTCACGGACATCCTGGTTGAGCCTCAACCCAATCACCGAGACAGAAGTCAAACTGAGATAAAGCACCCCCAAGAGATTGTTTGTTTAACTATAGTGGTATTTATTTTATATATAATATAGATTATGATGACCCGATAGGGAGGGTCATCTTTAATATACAGAAATCATACTTTCTTATAGTGCGGGCACACGAACAGTCTTGGTAGGCGATTTTTGTAGCCTATTAAAGTCTTGTGAAGAGTTTCACCGACCGGTACGGGTATGTGAATCTCCAGTCGGTTGTTTTCCAACTTGTCGATAATCACGTACGGAACATGCAATTAAAAGCGAAATGAATCTGCATGATTGGATGACGACGCTCTGTCTTGCACACAATAAAACTATCGGAAATTTGATAATCTTGTCGTAAAAGCGAGATTTTACTCAAGATTCGAGTCAGCGACAAAAATCGCCAACCAAGACCGTTCGTCTGCCCGCACCTTTAGACTCTCGATTCTTGATAAGGGATCTATTCACCAAATATTCCACTTAATGGGCTAATAAAAAGTAAAAATGACGTCATGTCCTCGATAGTATCTTCTTTGATGATATAAATGCCTGGCTTAAGTCATTTCCGTCGATGCGATTTTATTGAATTGTAAGCGAACCAGAAGTCGTAATTTCATTCTAAAAAGTTATCTGGTCAGCAGATAAAAAGATCCAAGCTGCTACAGGGCACATGCTTTGGTCAAAACCAAAAGTACAAGTTCAGAAATTAACAAAACATTTAACATTTCCCGATTAGGATTGTGTATCCAAAACAAGTGTCAACAGAATGCGATGAGCTGTTAGTCAATTAAATATCATTTAGTCTTTCATTGGAAAGATAATCTCCATTTCCAAAACAAGCTGTCCTGATGAGGATTGTATATCTGAAAGGTTTCTTCAGCATAAGATAAGCTCTAGTGAAATAACTATTAAAAGTTGTAATAAGACTTCGCGGAATTAGTCTGCATTATCACTTTAACTAGAAGCGGGCGTTTACTTGGCATCTGCCTACCTAGAGGATGTAAAGGATGAAAAGGGTGTAAGAAAGTAAGAAAACAAACCTTTTCCTGTAATATCTTAGTCTCTGTATAATAGTCAATGGGATTTTTAGCGTAGGGTAGATCTTCTTTCCCATTTAATATATCTTTCCCTTCATACACCACGCTAGCACTGCTCGTTAATACAAACTTCTACAATTCATGAAATATAAAGGAGGTTTAAGTCTTGCTGTTCTGTAACTTATTACGCGTATAAAATGAAATAGATTATCCTGTCCTTCTATTACGTTTACTTTGAATAAATGATTTCGTGTCAGATGAGAACATAATTATAGTCTCATGAAAGCACTGGCCTAGGTCACAAGGTAAAGAGTCTAATCGTAGAAGATATATGCAAATATAATTCTTTCTTCAAAAAAAGATAAAGGTCGCTAGAACTCGTAACCAACGACCCCGACGCCTGATTATTTTGGCAATTCATGTGCATATCGACAACGCATTTAAGACCCCTCCGTGCTCGTGGTACAAGTACCGTCAAGGATAGGCTACCTAAAAAGTTGAAGACCAAAGATTCAGGACAATAATAAGGTGAAAACCTACCTTAATTTTCATCTCTTTACAAGCCAGAATAATAGTCTTGGTGCCCTCATAGTTTACTTTATAAAACAAAGCTTTATTATTACTGAGGGGAGCCGGGGTGGCACAGTGAAATACGATATCTACATCTTGTAACGCTGGTAACAGTTCCTAAAAGTTAATAGACAGAAAAGGGGAGTTTTACATCTTCCATTGGCATAACTATAACAAAATACAATGCAATGAATACCTTTTATCAATGGTAATAATTCCTAAAATTTGCCAGTAAGAAACGGACTTCTCTACTTTAATTTAAATGGTCTAATGACAAAAAAAAGAGGATACATTTTTGAGCAAAGCAGGACAACGATTTAAACCCGGGCGGGAATTGACTCCATCCCTGCCTCCCGTAAAAATTCTGATGATCGTACTTATATATTACCTCCTTTTTACACAAATCACCAACAAAGACTTTAATTCTGTCGTCATCGAATGATTTTCTCACATCAAAAGCCTGGACCTCGTATCCTCTCTCTAGTAATTTCTCCAACAAATGTCGACCTAAAAATCCGCAACCGCCTATCACTAAACATCGTTCTTTTTTCTGAAAATATATTAAAAGTATAGGCCTACATCTAGAAACGATTACCTTTTGTTATTCTGAGAATTAGTTTGTAAACTCGGCATCTTATTATGCAGATTTTTTGGTATTTGGGATTTTCAAATCGGCATCACTCTCTCAGAGACCATGGCATGTAGCTAAGAATGTTTATATGGTTTGGCAACTGAGCACCTTATCATAAAGTACTTCATGTATGTAGGCCTACATGGTATTTTAGTTTGTCAACTGTCTAATATCATTTGGTAATTGGATCATTGGCATCCAAACGACATACGCATTCATCAGTCAAATTACGACTTCTGAGGCTTTGTGGAACAAATAAAATAGACCGAGAAGCACACCTTGTTAGGCCTATTTCTTGACATGTACAATAATCGTTATCGTGTGGATAACTGCGACAATAAGCAATAAAATTATTTTAGTTGACTCATAAAATTGTATCAGATGTGTAACGATGCGTCGTCTGCTAAATTAAACGTTTGAGTCAAGCCTATGATAGATCTAAATTATGTCGGGTTTATGATGACAACAGTGAAACTGGGAAAAAGTCTTCAAAAAGTACACGACAAAAGAAAAGAAGGAACTTGCTATGCAGATAAAATCGAGAAATTAATACTAAATGCAAAGAAGACGAAGAAATTCCAACTCACCATGGAGGCCGCCATTTTAACTATCACCTGATTTCATCAACCAATCAAAACACAGCTGTAAATCAGGTGGTCATATTTTTACGGATTGATTCGTATTTATTGATAACACTTTAATGATTTTATTATGCAGATCAATGACAAAATTTGAATTTTAAATTCGATGATCATCTAGATCACTAGAGGAAAATTTCCATTGAGCTGAAATTACAAAATCATGTAAAATTGAGTAAACATCGATCTTTGACCATTTGCAAAATTTCAAAAAGGCAGGCTTAATTGAAGGTTGTCTATGCTATGGTGGAAAGAGTAAACGTAACGTAGATTTACCCCCACACAAGCTATCTATAAGATTTGTGACATATCGTGTTTTCCCACTGTCCGAAAATCAGACCATGCCATTGCACTGATATTTGTTTTGAAATGAAATACCTAGCATTAGCTATCGAGCAAAGCTTTGAATATATAAATGAATGGGAAAAGTAACGTCTACAATTGCATGCAAACTAGACTGGATTCCAAGATGCTATCCTACCAAAAGAAAATGGTAAAGGGATAGTCATCAAGCTATTATGAAAACCATTCTCCCGGGCAAATGCTACATAGCTCCATTTCTTTCACAAAATATTTAGACAACTAGGCTATATCTTTTAGCCTAATATTAGTAAATTAAATCATGGTTATCCAACAGAGCATTTAAGAAATAAATAATCTCTTAATCCGTTTATTGTTTAATTAAATCGAATTAATTAACTTATTTATTCAATTCGTCAAATCAAATCTAATCCCGTCACTTTAAGAAAAACAAGACGAGACTCGCCACAATCCGTTAAATAATCCGTATTTATAACATCAACATCCGGGGCAGACCGGAAAGCGCTCACTTCGTCTCGAAGATCAACAAAACACAAAATGGTAAGATCAAAACTGACAAATTTACGGATTTTTAGGAGTTTATTTGCTCAATTTTAAAGTTAATATTCGATTTCACTCTTTCACAAGAATCTTTGGATCGATTTTGACAGCATATTATTGAAATTGTGTAGATTTTGGGTGATATGTTTCGCTTTGGCGACGGTGATCAAATTTCCCGATGTCAACAAAAGAGGATAAATTTATGTCATTTGCGTGGGAGCACGGTCACTTTCTGAATAAATTATAGTAACAGGAAATGTAATTATGAGCAGAATAAATTTGTCGTAATTTTCAAATTAAGAGTTTGACCTCTGCTTATCTGATCTTCTAATGTCGTTTTGAGGCACTAGAATTAGAAATGGTGAGTAAGATTTGGCTAAGAAAACAAGTCTGTGCTTGAAATTCAAATGAACTGTGGTTGTGGTGACTGTGTTTACCAAGTACCTGGATGTCAACTCGGAATTGAAATGAAATTAGTAATGGCACAGTCATCTAAATGACAAATTATGATCAAAACAATGGGCTTATGTTCACCAGAACTTAGAACTAATTAGAAGCCCTATGCAGTAGGGTCAAACCATATTTGTTTCATTTATCTTTTACACTAGATATCTCATGTGTGTTGTGGTTTCTTCAGGCAACTTTCAAGAAGACAACTCTATCAGGGGGTGGAAGGAAAAAGACTGGTCCTAAACCAGAGTTAACGGAAGAACAGAAACAGGAAATACGAGAGGCGTTTGATTTATTTGATGCTGATGGGTCTGGAACTATTGATGCTAAAGAGTTAAAGGTGGGTCACAGTTTTGTATGAGTTTAGGAGGGGAGAGGGGGGGATATTTTTTTGACATGCCAGTGTTAAAAGGTGATGAGAACATAGTCTATCGAATAGCATGGACTAAGAAGCTAACATATCAAGTCCTTTAAATTTTGTTTTGCTTTAATCTATTCTGGTACAAGCCAAATATTTCTTCTGTTTTTGTAATTTATGAGGCAAAAAATTGGGCCAATATGTCCCTCCTTTTCGAGTCCAACCAGATTCCAGTCCAAATTCCCTTATATTAATGTCATTGTATTGTGATTGGATTTTTTTTTTGTAGGTGGCTATGAGAGCTCTGGGTTTTGAACCAAAAAAAGAAGAAATCAAAAAAATGATTGCTGAGATTGACAAAGATGGACACGGTAAAAATTTACTTATTTTAAACCTAGTATCATCTTAAGTTTACATCACAAGATAGAAAGAAACCAAACTTACTTTGCTTATTACTTATAAGAATGTTAATCCAGTCTTGGCCGAACCTTTTAGCATTTATCTTTCCTGGAATATCCATATTTGTAGATAGGCTGACTGAAATAGCGAGAATGCCCTGATTCAAGGTCACTAGTCTTTCACACACCAGCCAAGATTAGAACCTATTACCACCATTGGTTCAACATAGCTATACCAAAAAATTATGTTGAAGCATTTTTTTTATGATAATTTCAGGTACAATTGATTTTAATGATTTTTTGACAATAATGACCCAAAAGATGAGTGAAAAAGATGCTAAGGAAGAAATACTGAAAGCTTTTAGATTATTTGATGATGACGAAACTGGAAAAATCTCTTTCAAAAATTTAAAACGAGTTGCCAAGGAACTAGGAGAGAATCTCACAGATGAAGAATTACAGGTAACTACGGAAAACATACCAGCAAACCTATTGTCTCATTTAGTCTGTTAAATTGATTGATTGTTCTGGAAACTTTATCAGGAAAATGATATATTTGAACTGTTGAAGGATCTTTAACATGCTCTCAACTTTCTGCACCTACTATTAAAGTTAGACTGTCCCTTTATTATGTATTTTTTTTTTTTGTAGGAGATGATAGACGAAGCAGACCGAGATGGAGACGGAGAAATAAATCAAGAAGAATTCCTCAGAATCATGAAGAAAACAAGTTTATATTAATTTTCATTGGTGCATTCATGTTTTAACATATTCTGATTGGCTCATTCATTGTTTTAACACATTCTGATTGGCTCAGTTCATATTCTCAACATCCAGATTGGCCAGTTCAAATTTTAAACATTGCCTTGTTTGTACCGAACACACTCTAATTGGCCAATTTTTGAATATATATTGTTGGTACATCTTATCGAACACATTCCGATTGGTCAAATTTTGAACATTGTCTTCTTGGTACATTGAATTGTAACATTGTTTGATTGGTCGATTCAAATTAAAACATTTTTGATTGGCCAATTCAAATTAAAACATTTTCTAATTGACAAATTCAGAATTAAACAATTTTTGATTGGCTTAATGAAATTTAAACACGAAGGAGTTATTAATTCAAGTCTTGCATCATTTGATTGGTCAATATTAATTTTTGAACTTAAGCAGCACCTTTTCATTGGTCAGCATTATGTCACATGGTCATGTCGTATGACTTCTTTTCCTCTTTGTATATATGATTTCAATTATTATTATTGATATATTTGTATGTTTGTGTCTGAGTCATCCTTTTACATATTAAATCTATCAGACAAGTATTATTTCCATCTTTAACAGGATCCAGAAGAGTGTGGTGTCCGCTTGCAAACCCTATGACTCAAAGCAAGCCTGTGTAACAATCTAGATTAACCTATTCCCTACCCTACAGGGATGCAAGGTGGCAATCTAGATAAACCTATACCCTACGCTACAGCTATGCAAGGTGGCAATCTAGATAAACTTATTCCCTACCCTACAGGGATGCAAGGTGGCGAGGTAGATAAACCTATATCATACCCTTCAAACCTGGTGTCTACTTTTAACGTATGTCGCCCAAAGCAGGGAGTAACAATCTTGATCAGTAGATCCAACCTTTTCATCATTCACACCCTGGAGCAATCTTGTGATGCTTTCAGGTGCTCTTTCAACAAATATATTTTTCTCCTACGCCATATCTCTGGCACTGCAATCCCACACCCCAGTTTGGGAATCGGAATCTAGACAAACCTACATCCAGTACTATAGCAAGCTCGGACAGCAGTTTAGATAAACCTCAGTAAGATGCATTATATTTATGGACAAGGTGCCCCAACACCATAGCGATTGTGGTAGCACCTAATAAAAGTGGCCATGAGTACCGAACGCAACTCACTGTGAGTCACAACTCAGTTGCATGAGACTTGCGTTCGAAACCTATGACTAGTTTTGTTATTCGAACGCAACTGGTGATCGCTGACGTCTGAAGATATTTCTTGATGTCGCTATCCACTTCGTTTATTTCCATACCGTAAGAGTTTCTATTTATTTATTAAGGTTCAATTTGAAAAGAGGGGTGCCTCTTTTTACTGGGTAGTCCTATTTCATCGTACGACAGCCTCACATAGGGTGTTTTCATGGGTAAAAACCAATATTCAAAATTATAGAAAAAATAAAATCGTCCAGCCTCTACCACTTCCTGATATACTGCAAGTAGACTCTCAACAAGATGGCCGACGTCTTGGTGAGATTGAAAATTACTATAAAATGCTAAGATGTCGGATTTTAAAGTTTGGTTTGCCCCTGGACCGAATAAAATGGAGGCTGGTCCCAGATATACCGGTGTCTCACTGTACAGTGTTATTTTTGTATAGTTCAGATGAACATTAGTATCAAATACAGCACCCAGATCCGCCATTTTCTGAAAGGCTCGCAACACAAAACTGGCACAATCGTTGGGTTCGAACCATACTTCACCACCTGAAAGACAAAAGGAATGGATTAATATTTGACAGGTTTTTTTTGGGGGGAGCTTTGTAAAGCGAGTACGATACATTGAAATTTCAATGGAATACTGCTTTCTTAAATTTCATCCAAATCTAGATTCTGTACTTACCAGGGGATTCGGCTACTGTCCATGTTTCGTAGTAGATACCTGTATTGTTGTCCCATTCCGACCAATTTCCAAATTCATTGAACTGAGCACCTGAAAAATATGGATCGAAGTGGTACCAAACCCTTAAAATCCTATAATACAAATATGTGGATTCTCAGATATGCCGAGTTGACAACTCGATAGCAGAGTGGCACTTTTACTTATAGCAATGGACTTCTAGCCTAGGTCGTATACTTTGAAATTGTGGAGATGGATATAGCCTAGTATTGGGTGTTAACGAAGCTACTGTAGAAGCACCGACCAAGGTTACAATTAACAAGAGAACACAGTGTTAAATTTCCCACCTGTGATTTCTGCCACTTTCACCAAGGTACCGTTCTGAGACCAATGAATATCGTCGATTCCATCGTAAATACAAGCTGCTCCTTGATTGCACCATTTCAATGTATCATTGGACAGAATGTGAGCAAAGGTACAGTTAAACAGCTGAAACAGCTCGTACCATTCCATGGTATAATTCTTACCGGTGTTCAAATTGTTAAACCCTATAGCATCATGCATTATATTCTGAAATAAAATTTAGTATAAATCAAGAGAATGAGGTTCCCATAGATACCCGAGCAGGATCAGCTAGAGAATTTTGTGGTCGACATCTCGAATTGGCATTCGTTGAGTTTGAGATCCAAATTTGTTGGATCCTGTCAACCCTGGGTCCGTTAAAACCATACCATATCATACTTACAAATTTAGCCAGAAGATCCCCAAACTTAAACTCCCAAACCGGTGCCTTCAGGGCATACACCTCAACCCGATCGGAGGGGTCAAATTTCGGCATGGTATTGGCGGCCCGGCCTGTGGGACAGAAGGCGATGACACCTGCCCTGCAGAATGGATTGGCTGGTGGTCGGCTTTCATATCGTCTGAAATTGAATATAATTTGCTTAAAACATTTCTTCATCAGAATAAGCTAATTGGATGCAGTTTCTACGGTGGGGTGACGTCCCTCCTTAGAATTGAGGCTGCATGGCTCGGCCTTTCCCCTTCACCCAAATGTCTTACCATTCTAGATATGAAATATTGCCACCCCATCCTCGACAATGGTATCTCTATAAACTGTACTTACTTATGAATATGAAAAATGAGCTCTTTCAGCTGGTGAATACTTACTTATAAGGTACCGGCCACTGTTCACCAGATATCCCGAGGGAGAAAACGAAAAGAATATACAGAAGTATCATAACGAGTGAGGTAGAGAGAGGTTAAATTCACGTGATGACGAGAGAGAGATGAGATATGACGAAGCTGTATCAAGATAATCATTTCTTATCATTAAATATCATTAGATCTTTATATCATTATTAATATAGCCTAACTAATACTAATGTATGTTACTAATGTGGCTTTGTTTTCTATCATTAGTGTTGTTTTGTGCTTGATAAAGATTCCTGTAAAGCCGCGTAAAGAAAAAGTGGCAGTGTAAACAGGTTGAGCATTGTGCTTGTTTCAAGTGGGCCGAGTCCCGCAAGAAGAGGTGGTCTTGGTCCGGACCGAGTACGGTACGGCTATATATCAGTGCAGTGTAAATGCGCCACTGGACCGAGCGAGCCGAGCCCACTTACCCAAGGAGGCAATGGTCTATGACATGTTATGTCGTAATAGAATATATTGTGTTTGCGATGGCTTACGACGCCGGTATTCACCTTAACATGAAATTAGAGTCCGAACCGAGCAGGGGTCACCTAATTCAAGCGGGCCAATTTTTATGACAGTGTAAACGCAGCTTATGTGATCATACGAAACTACGTATGGTTCTTTCAAGGAAATAACACACACGAGCGTAGTTTACAGTCATTTTGAATCTCTAATTCGACAAATGTCTTTCAACTACATTCGCAACCTTTACATGTGATTTGAAGGCATTGTTGAAATATTTTAGCCTTTTAAAAGGGCTGATTCTGGCCTTGATTATACGTCTTTGTAAATAGTCTTCAGAACTACACGAAAATAACAATCATTTGGAATATATTTCGAACTTGAAACTTCACTTTTTTTTTCTATATATGTATAAGCGAAGTATCAAGAAAAGGCGAGTCGCCATTTTAACTTATAAAATCTGAACATACATTGATTTGAATGCTCATTGTTCGAAGGTAAGCTGTGAACACTATTACTTTTCAATCTGGGCTAAACAATACCCATTTCTGAGACTGAGGTTCGATTGGTCAACGGATGACGAAAGTGTCCCATTAAAGTTAAACCATTAAACGAGTATAATCTTTAAATGTCCTTGCTGAACATTAAACGAGTGTTATAACATTAGAACAATAGAAGAGTATTTAGGCGATCAAAATAACATGTTGATGATTATATTTCTGATAGCCTTGTTTATTTCCTGTCATCTGGAGTTTAATTCACCGACAAACAATCGGAATAATAGAAATTATCAGTTCTTTGTACTTTATCATTTAAGTCTTTCTTTGTTAATCGGGAAATAGAATGAAATTAAAATGAAATATTGGAAAACAGTGATTGTTTTAAGACAAATACAGTGTATATATTTAAGTACGAAATGGGGAATCTTATTTAATTATTATTAAAGGAATTGTAAAGAGGTTTTCTATATGTTTTTTTTTATATTTATCCGTGACACTGATAGCATCAACTTGCACAATTCCAATTTACAATCAGACGTCTGTGGTTCCTGAAATTCCACTAACTGCGAAGGGTTTATGTGATATTTTACACGGATAACAATCAAAGTTTATGAGGATCCTGTCTACCAGCTGGTCTTTGGCTAAACCTCTTTGCATTATCCATACCCATTTACAGCTAGATCGACTAGAATTATGAGTGATTCGTTGAAGCCCATCCGACTTTCACATGCTGGCTAAGATTAGAACCTACTATCGCCATTTGTTTATAGAATTGGTCTATAAACTTCATTAAGTCGAGCACAACAGATCGTCCCTTTAACAAAAGGAATCGACCAACACAATAGAAAGCAACCAACGTAAACACTTTTATATCTCTAGGAATGAAATTGCACCGGGAATTATATGTCGGCGTTTTTTGCTAATGAGTCAAAATCAATATTTTTTAAATAAAATAAAAAATCTTCCACTGATCATAATCCTCCTCTTACAAAAACAACAATACAAGACAAAATAATTCTGTTTACAAGGATAAAAACTCAGTAAACCCTTTTAGTGAATATCATATAGGCAAAATATTTATATTTTACATGGATAACATCATGTTCCTTTAGCAACGGTACGATATAATCCAGAATATTGATGACATACTACCGTTGCTAAAGGAACATCTACGATTCTGATGGTTCCTGCCATCTTTACAATGTCACGGAATTACGAACTTCGTCTTATACCTTGACTAAAATAGGCACTGTTTTTGTATCATGGAATGCATCGATTTGAGTGGATTGTACGCCAGCGAATATAGCCAATCAGAGCCCTCAACAGAAAGATTCAAAATAGTATAGCTCATTATTTTCTTACTTTCTTTACTTTCTGTTGAGGGCTCTGATTGACTGTATGCACTGGCGTACAATCCAATCAAATAACTGCATTTAAATCTTCGTGATACACGAATAGTGGCATTTGTAGTCAAGGTATCAGACAAATTTCGTAATACCTTGACCATTGTTAAGATGGGTTCCTGTCTACCAACTGGTTCTTGACCAAACCTCTTGGCACCGACATTTCCTCGAATATCCATCGCGTTTAAGGGTTTGGCTGACTGGAGTAAGCAGGAAATATTGGAAATAAAAATTGGAATGGCGCAGATGAACTTCATACAAATTTTAGAAAATCTCTTTACAATCCCTTTAATGTATCGTGATTATAATCACTAACACATGGGTGAGGCTCGGATATTGATCAACTTGCATTCAAGTTCGACGTATCCGGTACCGGGACGAGATTCTTGTATTTTTTGTCTTGGATTTTAGAAAACGTTTCACAACTCTTGGAAGGACTATATTTATGTAATTTAGAAAAAAAAAGAAATTTGAACCATGATGTTTTGTGTTTTTCTGGTATTCTTCAGGATTGATCTTGTAGGTAAGATATAGTTGTAAGGTCGACATTACGATTTTTTTTGCACCGTGGAACTCACACGAGATTGGGGATAAGCAAAGAATGATACCGGTCTAGCTCAGGATTGGAAATTTCACTTCTGTACAGGATCTTCGAAAATCTGTATTGTTATCCTCTAGAATAATTTCAGAGACCCTTGAAATTTTAATCTGCTCAAATCATTGTCAAGTACCAGCTGGTAGACAGAATCCTTGAGAAATTGAGTTGTTATCCCTGTCAATCATTACTAGGCAGTTTGACAAAGGACCAAATTAAAGGTGGATCTCTCCTAAGTTGTTATCCTTGTAAAAGCATTAATTGGCAGTTTGACAAAGGACCAAGTTAAAGAAGAATCTCTCCTAAGTTGTTATCCCTGTAAAATCATTATTAGGCAGTTTGACAAAGGACCAAGTTAAAGGTGGATCTCTCCTATGTTGTTATCCCTGTAAATCATTACTTGGCAGTTTGACCAAATTGAAGAAAGGATCTCTCCTAAGTTGTTATCCTTGTAAAATCATTACTTGGCAGTTTGACAAAGGACCAAGTTAAAGGTGGATCTCTCCTATGTTGTTATCCCTGTAAAATCATTACTTGGCAGTTTGACCAAATTGAAGAAAGGATCTCTCCTAAGTTGTTATCCTTGTAAAATCATTACTTGGCAGTTTGACAAAGGACCAAGTTAAAGAAAGGATCTCTCCTAAGTTGTTATCCCTGTAAAATCATTACTTGGCAATTTGACCAAATTGAAGAAAGGATCTCTCCTAAGTTGTTATCCTTGTAAAATCATTACTTGGCAGTTTGACAAAGGACCAAGTTAAAGAAAGGATCTCTCCTAAGTTGTTATCCCTGTAAAATCATTAATTGGCAGTTTGACCAAATTGAAGAAAGGATCTCTCCTAAGTTGTTATCCTTGTAAAATCATTACTTGGCAGTTTGACAAAGGACCAAGTTAAAGGTGGATCTCTCCTAAGTTGTTACCTTGTAAAATCATTACTTGGCAGTTTGACAAAGGACCAAATTGAAGAAAGGATCTCTCCTAAGTTGTTATCCAGGAAAATACAACGTACTCTGTGTAATCCGACATCGGATCGGGCATTATTTCACGAAGTACTAAGTATTTTCGATATTTACAGTAGAAACGGTATTAAGAGTTCTCTCAAGAGATTGATTCACTTAATGGAGGTGGTCTCTTGGGAGAGAAGTCGGTTACAATAAACACCAAAACGATTATGTTTTTATATCTTTTATATTTAAAATGTATCTATTCTATAACAAATCACGAGACAATATTATGGAATATAACACAATTCTTTAATAAGGTTGGGCACATAACGTTTCAACACAATATACACGTGTCGTCATCAGATGTAATGGCAAGAGAATAAAAGATATGTGTTATATTCCATAATATTGTCTTGTGTTTTGTTATATGTGCTCCTCGCTTCTATATGTCGTTCAAATCTTATGTATCTATTTTAGTTGCAGTATATACCAGTTACACCGGCGATACATTTGTTGATGCTCTGGCGATATGCAATAACAACGGACAGGACATGCTGACTATTTCCAGCTGGCAGGAATACACCGATTCTCTCACTTATTCAAACCAGCTGTGAGTAGGCTACGTTGTATAATGTGTGTCGTGGAGATTTATAACTTCCATTAACATGGAGTATTTAGAGATAAGAATTATCAACATAGAAGTTATGATTCCCGCACATACAAACCCTACTTGATTTTTTTAGTTAAGAAATACGAAGTACATTTTTAAGGATGAAAATACGTGTGGTTTGTCTACAATCAGATTTAATATGCAGAGGTGACGACAGAGGCACTGTCTGTGCAAAGCCGGGTCAACCTCATTTCTGTGAAGGGGGGAGGGGGGTTAGTAGAAACTGGTACTGCTACAATTCTAAATTAAAAGGTCCAAAAATATAGCCTATAAAATAATAGCTCGTAGTCATTTTATAATTCATAAGTTTATATTAACTTTACCGGTACGGGTGGTTTATATTTTACAGTGAAGTGTCGTGGTTGGGGGTAGAAGAAACTGGAACTAGTGGAGAATATAGGTGGATCAGTAACGGGAAGATTTTGACAAACCTGGACTGGGTCCCGGGACAACCAGAAGCCTTACCCTGTACCTATGTTCATATCCCTGACAAAGTTTGGTATACAGATTACTGTACAGAGACCCATAACTACATATGTGTTAAAAATTCCTTCGGTAAGTATGTTGTCAGTACGCTAAATGGCATTTAAATGCTTGTACATTTTACATTTCTAATTCTGCCAATACCTACCAATTGAACACAGAAAAGACGTAAGAAAGTGGTACGTATATGTATGAGTAGTAAGATGGCGGGGGGGGGGGGGCCATATTACCTTTCACTTCTCGCCCACGAGAAGTAGAGAGACTACAAAGCGAGGAAAGGCGAGAAAGCGAAGGTAAAAAAAAGGCGAGGAAAAATGCGAAAAGAGAGGAAAAAGTCGAGAAAGCGATGGAATTGTTCACGCTTTTTCGCCTTTTAACTCGCTTTCTCGCCTCTTTTTTTACTTTCGCTTTCTCGCCTTTTCCTCGCTTTTTCCAATGCCTTGTTCCTTGCTTTCTCGTGAAGTCGAGAGTAGATTTGCCAGCAGCCGGCTTCCACAGTGATTTAAGTAATAACTGTTTGATTGGTTGCGCTATATTTTGACCGATTGTACCTTAGTCACAGAAAATAGAATTCTTTAGCTAAGCCAATGTCAATCAGTAATAGTATTAAAAATTTGAGCCTTCCAATCCATGTTTGTCCAGAATTATCTGCGTTTGAATGTCAAAATGACGACTCGTCAATTCAAGATACTCTGTGATAAATAGAAAAGATATATAGAAATAGAGAGTAAAATTCCTAGTTTGAATATTTCTTTCATTTCTGGTACTTTGCAGACATATATTCTAGACCCAAACCAACCTCCTAAACTGGCGAATCTGTCCCTTTAAGCCAGTTATTCGACGTATCCGATTTCGAGTTAAACATATTTTTCATCGATTAATGATTAAAGGATATGGCTGGGACCAAGCTTGGACTTCATCTTTACCATTACCATCTTTACCATTACCTTATTTACTTCAGATTATGTAGTTGGTCCTGATAAAGTAAATTATAGTACAGCAATAGAACATTGTAGCGTTGAAGGTGGTCTATTACCAGTTATGATCACCCAACAAGATAAACGAGATTTTTATACAGCGATTTTAGAATACAACGTCAACAACCCGAGGTTTGTGCATGGCCAATTTTCTCTGTTTACAAACCCTGTATTGCATGGAGTATCAATGTCGAAATTAGACGCCTTTTTTAAAAGTAATTTTCAGTATGTACAGCTTTTCAAGCGTCCGTTCAATTTCCAATCCAGCGAATGGTTTTTTACATCACTGACAATGGACACCGGGTTGATTACATCTGCTTGTACTATTTCGACCTCTGTCGGCAACGAACTCTATCCACTAGGTCGAATCAACGAGACAACCCAGAAGGTTTCAGCTTCCACCCACAGCTCATGTCCAGTCTAAATATTGCAAAACTCTATTTCATTTCACTGTTATTGTACTGTTTCAGTTTAGAAAAGGTGTGGCTAGGGTTGGTAGCCGATGGTGAATATTTCAAATGGGTCACAGGGGAAGACCTCACCCCACCCTACAAGTGGGCAACCTCAGGACGAGAACAGCATGTCCATTACCATCACGCTGGACACAAAGATGAGGGATACCACTCTGATAATAAGCCTGAAAAAACGTTCGTTTGTCAACCGAGGGTATCCGATGTTCCTGGTAAGTCTCCAAGATACTAACTTTAAGAATCTAATGAAAACTATTAGCAAATTAGTATTTAATGGTCTTGGCATACCTGTCGTATCCAATTAGCTCGTATATTGCTTGATACATTGACAGTTTTCTGTGGCCAAAATTGGACTAGAATATCGAGTCCCACAAGGCAGCAGATTACTTGGTACAAAGGTAGTATTCAGAAGTTAGAACTGGATCAGAGCAGACCATAATAGCGCGTCCCACTATTGTCCCATAAGCTACAGAATTCTTGTTACAATTCTTGTACAATGGACAGTTTTCTGTGGTCAGAATGAGACTACAACATACCATATTGTGTCCAACAAGCTAGTAGATTGCTATTTGGACAAATCTGGTCCTATATCAGTTCCTCAGAAGTCTTAAGAACTGGTCGGACCAGATTTGTCAGGATAGACTTAGATTGCACGATGGGCAACTCTAACAGGAGATGCAATGTTGGACGATGCTCACTATTCTTCTTATATTGCAGATGCAGTTACTAGGAGCCCGAATTATTTTAATCGAGTGGTCACCAACACGCTGGTTCTGGGTGACGCCCTGTACGCTGAGAAAGATTCCAACCAAATCGAATGTGCTGCTGTATGCGCTTTAAATCCGAGATGCATCCGGTTCATTCAGTTTGGGTCTTTCTGTCAACATTTTGATAGTGTTTCGCACACAAATGTCAAGTTCCCAGGTTTCTCATATTGGGAGAAGCGAGGATTGAATGAGACTTTGTTTTAGAATTTATCGTCAGTCTGACTTTTGCGTTTCTGTTAAAAAAAGGTCGTCTTATACCTTGACTGCAATAGCCACCTTTTGATGCATTTCGGATGTTTGTAAATACAGAATTTGATTGGATTGTACGCTACCGAATATAACCAATTATAGCCCTCGATTACTCGTTAAGCAAAATTGTTTAGTCTTTTCGTCGCAGGCACTGATCAAATCTCTGCATTTACAAACTTCCGTTAACCTGGGTCGGTAAAGCGCTTTATAGCGATTCAATCTTGTAGCTTTGATGATCAAATTTGAATAAAAGAAGAACCTTAACCTGTAATATTGGAAATGTATATAATTGCTAATAACGTGTTCAGAGAAGTTGAATAATAAATATACTTAAAGATATCATTATATTATATCATATTCCTCATGACAAGTGAAAACCACGTCGCAACCATTGTCTCTTCAGCATGTCGGAAATTATTACACATTTCTACCGTGTTTCTCTTTAGCAGACAAATCTCGAATTTAGGAGAAAGACAATTTTCTGCAACCGCATGATGTATATGGGGAAAATAAATGTTCGTTCATCGCTATGTCTACACGCATTGAAGCTGCAAATACCAATATGGTGGAACCAAGATGGCTTAAGGTCTTCAATATAGCAGACAAGTACCATTGATCCAAAAAAAATCTATAAAATAATCATTTTATTTTACTGGTTGACAATTGAATAAAGGAACAACATCTTTACCGGAAGTTTATTTTGGCGACATTCGACATCAATGCCGTCCATATATTGATGTAGGCTAGGTCTACATACCGAAAAAACGGTGACATTTTAAGTAAGACTAAGGTACAAGTTTTGTATTAAAGCATTAACAGGGCCAAGTGGAAGATGCTAGTTCAAAAACTTTTCTTGAAGGAAAATACATCCTTAATCAAGCTCTAACAGCTGTTTTAAAACCCAGCCTTAAATTTCCTGTGAATAAGTTCAACTTGTAAATTAGTTGTCTGTTCGTCCATCATTGACAGTGCCATTGGAATGAGAAAGTCCACAAAACGACGATTAAAAAATAAGCCAATGTTTACCAATCATGTGTTGGCAGTTGAGGTTGGTGGAGTGTTTCTAAAGGTAGACAAGCCAAGATCTGTCCACTTCTGTTCTTGTTCATGAGGCGTCTCAATTGATGGTCCGTTATCTGGTTCTGTTTCCGGTAGTTGCATGACGGGAACCATTATATCTTGTACCGGAAGTTTATCGCGGCGCCACTCGTCGTCAATGGCATCCATTAATCTGCCGTCTCGCTTCACTTCACTATCCATTTCTAAAATTAAAATAGTAGTCGGAATTTATATTTTTTCAATAAAGGAAATGACACGAGAGTTTTACGTCCTATTGTTCTGATCTAGATGGTTAATTAAATGAAAGAAAGATTCATACCCTATTGTTCTGTATCTTAACTAATCTTAACCAGTTTGGGTTGCTAGGCCTTCGCAGTCTACAATGAGAATACTTTTCTACTAGGGCCATGACATAATCCTACCTTTCGATTGCCAATTAAGCTTCTACTTTGGTTTTCGGTTTGACAAGATAGCAGCAATATCAAGATAGGCCAGTTAGTGGACAAGATAATACCACTTGAAATTTTCATATTTCTACCCTTCAATTGCCCAATAAGCTTCTCTGCTGTCTTAAGGTTTGACAAAAGAGGCTAGTTAATAGACAACCTAATAACGATTTGGATTAATGCTACTTACTAATAAGTCTAATTCATTTTAATATGTCACGTAAATGAAAAGAATCGTCTCGGATTAATGAAATGATTTTCTGACTACGATACGATATTAATTGGGATGAACCAAGAAGACAAAAGGGCGAAACGAACTCAGCCCTAATTTATCGATACGAAGGCGGGCTCGTTTTCATCATTAATTAGTCTATTTACCGATAGAAAGCGAGGCTTTGCTCTTGAAGTTATCGTTAATAAGGTAATCAGAATAAAATACACAAATAGCCAAAACAATTCGCGCTTTGTAGTCGCTAAAATTTAAAATATAATATTCACGTTTCAAAGTTACCTTGACCTTGACATTACAACCTTAGACATGCGCAGTGAATATTTCCGGCACGTTTGTTTATTTTTTTTCTGTATGTCAAGTTTTTGGCCAATGATTAGATAATAAAAGCGATAAATTAAATCTAGAGAAGAGCGGATCGAAGAAACCAAAATCAATCAGTCGTTTGTCACATCTGCATAGTCCGGTTACCATGGCATGCGTGATGAACCACGTATTTGTGACGAATATTGTCGGTAAGAGTCGAATTCTAATGAAATCGGCGATAAAGACAACCCCAGCGTGTCGTTTTCTATGGAAGCAAAGGAATTCAGTGGACCTTCCAGTTCGGAGTTCTGATAGATTGCTTTCGACAAAACCAGTCATGATGAAGTTTGGTGGTGACAATGATTTTATTTTTAAGCAGGTACTTATTAGGCCTACATCTATATCTGTATGATAACAGTTTTATTTACTTCTTTTTGTTGGCCGAAAAGGCATTAGGCGTGAGTAGGCTACAACAGAATGTGTAATAGCTCAGCCGGTAGTGATTTTAGTATTCTAGTAATCTGATTGGCCAGTAGCTAAAATTGATTTTAATTTCAGCTTTTAAAGCCAATCAGATTACAGTAATACAGTTCTTGGCCTGTGGGTGGTTCAAGGTAAATTCTGAACAGCATGTTCTTCTTTTATCCCCTTAATTCAGCTTAAGATAAGCTTAAACTTACAAATTACTTTATTACCTGTAAATGATAATAATGTTGTTATTTTTGTCCAAGAAAAAATCAAGGACAAGGTGCAGTATTTCTTAACCTTGAATATAGATAAGCATAACTTAATCTTTTATTCAGTTTTTAGATTACAAGTCCTACACATACACTTACCTACTTGGAGATACCAAAACACGAGAGGCAGTCTTGATTGATCCAGTCATAGAAATGGTAGACAGGGATATCCAGACTGTTAAAGATTTAAATCTAAATTTGGTTTATGCAGGTATGTATTAAGAATTGGATTATACACCACTATTTAGCTTTACAGATCTGGGCCCTGGTCAACAACAAAAAATTTGACTATATAAGAATTTGATTTTAGAGTGGGATTTTACATAGAGAAATAAGTTTAACAATGTCTGAGTGAAAATTGGAATGAGGCAAAGCAATGCCATCAATGTCCCCAGCAACACTTCTTCACTATAACTTAGAATGAACATTTTGTTTTTTCAGTGAACACCCATGTCCATGCTGACCATATAACTGGTACTGGCGAAATCAAGAAACGAATAAAAACGTGTCAAAGTATGATCGCTGAAGTCAGCAAGGCTCAGGCTGATATCAAGCTGAAGGAAGGAAACTCGATCAGATTCGGGTATCAAGAATTAGAGGTTAGAGCAACCCCTGGTCATACTGATGGTAGGTTTTAAGGGTAGGGCAGGGTTTCTCCATTAGGGTAAAGCTAGGCCATATACGCTTACAGGTGGTATATATAGAGATGTCTTCAATGATAGACAGGGAGCCGTAGTGGCTTAGTGAGTTAGGCGCATGCTTGCTAACATGAAGTTCCAGAGTTCAATTCCAGGATAGGTCAAGATAATACCTTCAGATTTTTCAAGTTCCCTCGACAGTTGGAAATCGAAAAAAGGCAGGTTAATGCTGCTGTCCTGGCAAAATGTTCCTCTTTGCACTCCACATGGTGCAGAAAAGTAGGACGAAAAAGTCCATTCATTTAATTTTTTCCAAGGAAGGACAGTGTATCTTTAGGGGTGTGGTGGGCAATATATACACAGGTTACTTTAGGATATCTGGGGAAAGGCCAAGAGATACTATCAGGTTGGGGGAAACAGTATAGAGGTGTTATACATGTCTTGATATAAGGATTAGATTAGGGCTCTTAGAAAGATATTTTAGTTTACAGTACAGTGTAAGAATTGATGTGTCTATTTTTCAGGGTGTTTAACGTATGTCTGGCATGATAAATGCTGTGTTTTTACTGGTGATGCTGTTCTTATAAGAGGCTGTGGACGGACTGATTTTCAACAAGGTACTTTATCAGGCATTTTCTAAAGAAAAAGATATTCTTTATATCTACCCTGTGGTGCCCTGATGCTTGTAACCTCAGTTGTTTTTTGACCAAGGTCCAGCTGATAGACACGATCCTTTTGAAGCTAAGTTGTTATCATTGTAAAAACAATGTCAAGGGTTTTGACCAAGGTCCAGCTGATAGCCAGTTGTTATCATAGTAAAATATGATTGTCTAATTATTTATTTGTAGGAGACTCTGGAAGACTTTATGATTCTGTTCATAAGAATATATTTTCACTACCTAAACATTACTCCATATTTCCTGCTCACGATTATACTGGTAAGCTTTGACAGGGTTTATTTACTTAAAGAGATACTACGTCTTAGAATGAACATAAAATTTAAACATTTTAAACTTAGCCAATAAGAGCCAGTAGATATACCTGGTTTCATAAATAACATAACAAGATCCTTATATAATCCACAAAAAACTTAATAAAAATGCAATTTACTATTGAAAAACGCTTAATATTATGATTAAGCGTTTTTCAATAATTACTTAGTTTTATGAATTTTCCAATTTTCTAGATTTTACAAGGATTCTGTTGTAACTTTATGAATGAATATATACCATTTCAGAGAGTACACATAGCTAATACCATTTATTTGTTATTTAGGAGTGTCATATATATCTTTTAGAGCTTTTACATAGCTAATAATGTTTGTTAGGTATTTGGTGGTAGTAGCAATTATTGATTTATTAATTTCAGAGAGTCTACATAGGTAATAACTATCGAGCCACAAAATTGTCCTTGGGGCAATTCTTTCACTATTTACAAAAAAAAATTGAAAGTCCGGGTCTAAAGATTCTTTTTTTTGGCCCCCTGAAGAAACACCACTGCTCTTAGCGGCACCTACTAAAGGTTAAGATTCTTGTTTAATTTTAGGTCAGACTCAATCGACTGTGGAAGAAGAACTGAAGCACAATAAGAGATTGACAAAATCCAGGGAAGAGTTTATACGGATTATGGCAGAGTTAAACCTTCCATACCCTAAACAGATAGGTAATAATTTTTGATACCAAAAAATATTGTCCCTAGGACACTTGCAAGGGCTAGAAGCTATTAGTGTCACCAGAAGAAGCTATTAGGGTCCTTGGTACACTTACAAAGGTCAGAAGCTATAAGTGTTCTTGGTATACTTTCAAAGGCTAGAAAAAGAAGTGTTCCAAGTAAACTTGCAAAGGTCAGAAGCTATAAGTGTCCGCGGTACTCTTTCAAAAAACTTTCAAAGGCTAGAACCTTACGTGTTTTTGGTACACTTTCAAAGGCTCAAACCTTAAGTGTCCGCAGTACACTTTCAAAGGCTAAAACCTACCTTAATGCTCAGTTCACACCAACGGCGCTTTGATCGCACTTTAAAGAGGTGTACAAAGTGTAACAAAGCTCGACTAAAGCACCAGGGTCGTAATAGATCGTTGGAAAGCTTTGAGCAAAGCGGGATATTCGGCAATTTTAAATTGTTTAAAAATTTTTGGCGCTTTGTCACGAATTGATTAAAGCGCCAAGAACGTATCAAAGCTTTACAAAGCGTAACAAAGTTCAGCAAAGCTTGACTCAAAGCGTAGGTAAGCTTAACATAGCTTTATTCAAAGCGGGGACCCCAGTCTTCACGGTCTGTCACCACTTGATCAAAAGCGGCATGAAATCGGCCATTTAGAAATTTTCCAATGCGTAACAGAGCTTAACAATGCACAACAGAGCTTGATAATTGTATCAGAGCGTGATTTAAAGCGTCATAACCGCATCAAAGCTTAATAAAGCGTAACAAGGCCTGATCAAATCGGGAAATAATTCGTCCCCAAAGCGTAACCAATTCGTATCAGAGCTTATCAGAGCTTAACATTACTTAGGAGATCGTGATATTTTTGGAAAAGTAAACAAAAAATGATGGCGCTTTGCTCGCCGATTTAAAGCGCAGCATTCGCCGTTGGTGTGAACTAGGCATAAGTGTCTTTGAAACACTTTCAAAGGCTAGAACCTTAAGTGTTACAAGTACACTTTCAAAGTCTTGAACCGTAAGTGTTCTTTGTACACATTCAAAGGTCAGAAGCTATAAATGTCCCAAGTCTACTTGAAGTTTTACGTGTCCTTGTTATACATAAAAAGGTTTCCCTGTAAACTTTCAGATTTTGGTAATGTTGTTTCGATTATTTCAGATAAAGCTTTACCAGCCAACATGGTTTGTGGGATTTTTGATGATCCTCCACTATAGGTCTTGAAGAACACTTTTGTTTTTTTTTATATTTTTTTTTATTTTGGACATGGACCTTCTGACAAACCCGAATGCAAAATAAAAGCTATGTATACTCTCTGAAAGGGATGCTGAGGCAAACCTTATACCAAATAAACATTGCAAGCTATGTATACTCTCTGAAAGCGATGCCGAGTTGATAAGCCTATATACCAAATAAACATTACTAGCTATGTGGGCTCTCTGAAAGGGATGCCGATTGGACAAGCCTATATACCAAATAAACATTACAAGCTATGTGTACTCTCTGAAAACTATGCCAATCTGACAAGCCTATGTACCAAATAAACATTATCAGCTATGTGGACTCTCTGAAAGGGATGCCAATCTGACAAGCCTATATACCAAATAAACATTATCAGCTATGTGGACTCACTGAAAGGGATTTGACAAACCTAAATACCAAATAAACATATTAGCTATGTGGACTCTCTGAAAGCTATGCCGATCTCACAAGCCTATATACCAAATAAACATTATGATCTATGTGGACTCTCTGAAAGGGATGCCAGGTTGACAAACCAAATGAACAGTATGTTTAAAGGGACAATGCGCCGTTTTTTTTGTCTAAGACAATCAAATCCGCGCTTGAAAGTTAAAAAGACGAGTCGTCTTTTCTTGAGAGACTGCCATATACAGAAAAGACATAGGAAAATAAATTCTTCCAGTACTTCTGAAGACCATTTACTTCAAGACTCAAATCCACAACAAAAAATGGCGAATCTTTCCCTCTAAGGATGAAATAAATAATAAATAATTTTTACATTACTACCCTACTCGTACAAATATATTTGCTTTACTGTAGTGAAAGAAGGCTGAACCATTTTATTTTTATACCATATATATTTTATTATGTAACATTTCTACAATTGTTATGTAAATATTTTTGCAATAAAAGTATAATTTGTTAATATATTTGGTTAGAATATAGAGGCCTTATGTTAGATATTTAGGGAGAGGGTTGGTTAGTTAACAAGAAGTTTCACGTCCTACTTTCTTAAATAAACGTGACAGCATTATATGTAATGTGCATAGAAACTTAAGTAACTTCTTTGTTACCAAACGATTACAGAGTTATTGCCCTTGACGTCGAGTATTATGGAAACTTGATGTGATAGTTGCTCAAAATGGTATAATCCTTAAGCGACATTTTAGGTGTAAAAATCATATTAAAAAACGGAACGCAAACTTAAGAGTAGTATACCATAAAATTGTGTTCCAAACCAAATAGTATGCTTTGAGATGACGACGTGTGGGTTTCTTCTGATTGAGTTATTGTCCACCAATTCGCTGTTTCAAAGTAATATTTGATGTATCGCACCGTGCAAGTGAAAACTATCTTACGGTTTTCAGTAAGTCTCATTCTGTTTTCACGTGACGCCATCAATCATACCGTACAATTACGAATATAGTGCGCACCCCTTCTAACCATTGAGTGAACAGGCAAAATCTAGTGGCGTTCCTAATTCTACGCCGCCATCCCTCAGAATAGAGGGTGCCCCCCCCCCCCTCTCTTTCAAATCTTTTATCAATTTACGTAGTTAAAGCATAGCCTGTGTCCCCCTGTTGTAAAGCAACTACACGTATATCCATGTAAAAATGTTCAAAAGATGGAAGACAATATCAGTATAATTTATTGTCTATTAAACTAATTAAGTCTTGCTCTGCTGAACTAAACTATAACCCTTCTTCGTGGTATTTATGTCTCTCATCAATTTTATCTAAAACCTTCAGTAATTTCTCTATATCTACTTTCACATTACAGTTTTCTCTCCTCGGCTCCTCAACCAACATCCAGTATTTCTGTCCCAACATGGCCGCTAAGCTCCAAAACGTCTGATGAGCTAACTTCCCTGTGGCCTCGCACACATTCCCGTTTTTATCAATAGGCATAATTTCTACAACGTATGTATTACTTGGCGCGAAAAGAATATTGTACAACGCCCCTCCATGAACTCCGATGACAATTTTTGCATTTTTGAAAATGTCCACCGACTCAGAAATAGTGGCTGTCTGTCGAACTAGTTTCAGATGGGACCCATATCGGTTGAACAAGTTGCCCGTCACTTCCGCTTTATTCACCATCTTCCGTCCACCTTCTTCCGTGTCCTCCCTCAGCAACAAGATGACGTTAGCTTCGTTGATTGGAACTGTTCGATTTTCGTGCGTCCCCATCGCACGTCGCGCTGTTTTGAACAGTGCAGGATGGAGAGGGGGTGTGATACATGTATCAATAACTGTTTTAATTTTCCATAGTCCTTTTTTATGGAAGATCAGACGATCTCTGTCGATGCCGAGTCTGTCCAATAGGAGAAGGATATTAGAGTCACGTGGTTCAAATATCAGCAGATACACATCCGACGCCAATATGACGTCATAAGCTTGAATGATTTTAGGAAGCACGCTGGTGATAAATCCTTGAAACTCATCGCTTTTAGGAATCAGAAGAGGGCAGACGGTTTTTCCCAGCACCCTGACGTCATCTTCATCTGCTGTGTATTCAATGAACAACCTCCGCTGGTTTTTGAAATCGCAGTCGATCTGCGCAGATACCAATCCGTCCTTGTATGCGTCAATGAATCCGACGAACTGATTGTCTTGACGAGTCCGCATCGCCTCTTCGTTCTCACGATTCCGAAGAAAGATTTTTCTATCCTTATCCACCGCAAACGCGGGTCGGACCAGAGTGAATGGCTTGTAAGATAGTTCTAGAGACTGCTTCGTGTTCAAAACACGACGGAGTTTCTGATAATGGTCGTTGATGTCGTAAGGAGGATCGGGATCTTCTCCGAAATAATTCATGGAAACCGATTCCTGCGACATCATCCGCCATCGGATTTTGGATATCAATTCCACGCGTTTTCGCGTTTTCGGAGTCGGAAATTGGTATGCTTTCAAATATTCCAGAAGTTGAATTCGATCCTGAAATTTAAGTTGGCGCGCTTTTTCTTCAAACTTATGCTCATTTTCAATTTGCTGTCTGCGTTTTTTCTCGAGATTCGCGTTCTGAAGTTCTCTCATCTGCTGCCGCCTTCTTCTAAGCTGTTGTGGGTTGATGTTGAGCTGGGGGTCAGGAAACATTTTCAAAAAATCGTTTTTGTCTTCTTCAGGGTCTTTGGGCATCATCGGGGGTAGAGTAACTTTAATATTCCCGTGTTTTCCCTTACCCCTTCGAGGCTTCACTTTTGGTTCTGCTGGTGCGATTGCCATATTGTATAAATAGAAGCAAGTGAAAGCCAAGTACATGATGATGACGTATTTCCAGACCTGTTTACACATCCAGAAATATCGCCTGCTGTGCGACCCCCGGGCTCGAACCCTCAACATCCTAGAAAAAAGTGGTAGAAGAGGAAGCCCTTCTTTTCAGATACGGAACATCTGACTGGAAACTATTTTCCCACCCGGTTGTAAATGGGTACGGATAATCGAGGAAAGACAAATACCAAGATCAATGGCCAAATTGTCAGCTGATAGAATGGATCCTCGCGAACCGGAGTTGTTATCGTTGAAAATAATGGTTGTCCTATCAGTTATTCTACTTATTTATTCCAAAATATTGCACAGTTATAATTCGATAATGAATCTCAAATAGCCAAATGATATCCAAGTTCTTTGACACAATTGACTTCCACAAGGCCTTCGCACAAATTCTTCAATCGAAAACTTCTCGGAACAGATTCTTCAATTCCTAAAAGCTCTCAGCACTAATTCTTCGATTGTAAAATATCTCAGAACAAATTCTTCGATTACTAAAAAATTCTATTCAAAATCAGTACAAATTCTTCGATTCCTAAAACCTCTCGGTACAAATTCTTCGATTGTAAAATATCTCAGCACTAATTCTTCTATTGTAAAATATCTCAGCACTAATTCTTCGATTGTAAAATATCTCAGCACAAATTCTTCGATTCCAAAACTTCTCAGTACAAATTCTCAGTACAAATTCTTCGATTTCAAAATATTCTCAGCACAAGTCTTCAGTTCCAATAGTCCTACACATTAATTCTTGAAATTACATCGCTTACCAATGTCCCTTATTTCACGCCATATTTGATTAAAGAACTATTTTGCCCACCGTGGTCCATGTCCTTGACATACCGAGAATTCTTAAATAGTTAGAAGAACCTGGTGATATCTGTTCTGGCCATTAAATACCAAAAATATGTTGACATCTGAATAAACAGTTTATTGGAAACATTTATTTGAATAATTTGTTAAGAGACTTTTCGAAAAAAAAACTTCGTTATAAAACATGAGTCCATTGCCGGCAGATGTTTCGGATTAAATGCCTGACTACAATCCTGTCGTACATGTTCATGCAGTCGTAAAGAGGTTTTCAAGCTTTTTGGCATGTATAGGGGATATTTATGACTTCTTTTCGCATCATTTCATTCGTGGTTAAAATGAATCTGCCATCTGCGTATCCGGGAGCTACTGGTTTTTCAAGGACTGCTAGCAAATGAAAGAAGGAAGTCTATTAGCTGTCGGCCGAATGTTGTGTGGAATGTCTCTAACCAATATTGATGTAAGTATTTTAAAACTGTCGAGTGAAGGTAAGGAGATCAATAGAAATTTTAATACTAAGTAAAATATCTTTAACTCTGTCAACATATGGTTCTTACTTTATTGATTTTAACTAAATAGATACGCTTGTCTACGTGGAATGCACTAAGGTACTTCGCCGAGACGAAAATTGCCATTGCCTTCGAGAATACTATGTTAAAGGGATTGTGAAGAGGTTTCTTATATTTTTTATGTGTATCAGAAACACTGAAAGCATCTATTTGCACCATTAAAATTTTCAGTCAGATGTCTTTGGTTCTTGCAATTCTACCAAAATTAAGTGATTGATGACGTCACTAATCACAAAATATGCTTTATCACATAAGGCTCTTTGTCGCTTATTCACAATAGGACAGGTCTTACCAAGCTTGAAAATCTAATCTAACCAATAAGTTGAAGGTCTTAGCACTGAAGAATATTCTCAATGCGTCTTGGGGCCCCTGTCCAAAAAGTTCGCTTAGTTCCAATTTTAGAAAGTTAACCCCCATTTCTGATAAAGTTGTCCTGACGAGGATTGTGTATCAGAAATATATGTCGGTAGAAACTCTTTCTCTCTTGGTTTATTGAGGTCTGGCAACGTCCTGCAGTGTGCAATGGGGAAATTTTTTAAACAAAAATTGACGTTACTCATTTTTCCATTGTCAATATCAAGCTACTTCTGATGGGCTAATGAGGTGTGCAATTAAGGAAAGTTTTCACTTGAAACAAACTCAGTATTTTAAAATGTGTTAATCTTGGATAATATCTGAAAGTTCATCATGATTTGAACTACAAAATATTTACAAAGTATTTTTTACATTTTTTGAAAAAGTTTAAAATATAAACTGAGCATTCCTCTTTTTTGTAAGGTAGTTCAAGTAGTAATGAACACAATGTAAGTATAGTCTGTGTAGCTTCTATTACTATTTATTCTACCTACAAATAAAATGGACTGTTCTTGTTTATGTTTCAAAAATGATCCGATTGTGCACAAATATTTGTTTAACTACAATTTTTCAACTTAAAAACAAAATATTCTGTATTTGTTTATATTGGAAGGTACAAACTCTAGGCTTAATTTGTTATAAGTTTTGGTCAAAATTCCAGTTAAATCCTGTTTGATACAGATTTAAACAAAATATGATAAAAAGATGAAACACTTGAATTTGATTGGATGATTTGTGTTCAATAACGACCGTGTCTATCACGTGACCTGTCTCGGGATCGAGACCTTCGTCTTTCTCGTGACCTTGATCGTCTTCTACCGTCTCGTTCTCGACTACGACCTCGTTTGGTTGGTGGTGATCGGGAACGCGATCTCGTTCCACCTCTAGCTGAGGTCAGAGTTCTACAAAAATAAATGAGAACCAATTAAACTCAATTGTTAAATATCGAAAATTCAAATTGAAACAAGCTCAAGACTGAATATAATTTGACAGGCAATAAAAAACACCCTTAAGTCTACAAATAAACTTTTCCAATCATACAGAAAATATGCATGTGTGGAAGAGTCCAATGGAAGATTAAGGGGTAGCAAACAGATGACTGGAACACTATAAACAGCCTTGCAAGACGACTTAAAATCATCCCTTAAAGTAAAAGATCAAGCCAAGACGAAGTAAGCCTCATGTTGAAAGTTGACACCAAGTCAAATCATTGAAGCACTGGTTGTGGCATCAGAATTTCAAATAAAACAATTCACTCACCCTCTCTTTCGTCGTCTGCTATATAATTCACGTCTCAGTTCTCGTGAAATTGGCTTCAAATGCATAAAATTACAGAAACCACCTCGAGTACATTCACTGAAATATAGAATAAGTATTCAAACATTATAAAGAGCTTGGTCAATCCAAGGAAGATAAATCCAAAAGGGTGGAAAAGATCTTTGAGAACATAAGTTGTTATGGATGCTTCTTTCCCATTTTCATCCTAAAAATGAGGGAGCATTATGGGATAGATTATCATATTTTAACTGATATCAACATTGGCCATTCAAATATTAGATTTGACAGTACGAAAATTGATGAATACCTACCCCATTTCATACTGACGACAACAAGCCTCTCTAAAATCAGTGACTGGAGATAATTCACTACAGACTGGACGACCATTAAACCATCGGTTGTTTAAATCATTCACAGCTTTTTCAGCATCTTCTTCGTACCGATACTATACAAAATAAAACCACAAACACAACATAATCTTTTAGGCTTAAAGGAGCAGTGTGATTAGGATGAGAAAGCATAATTCCTTTAAAAGTACTCCAAACTTGGAATTTTACTCACTATTTCTATATGTCTTTTTTATATATCTTAAAATGACGATTTGTCATTTTAACATTCAATCACAGATATTTCAGGACACGCATGGATTTGAAGGCTCAAATTTCGACACTATATGATTGGCTTAGGCCTAGTTTAAACAATGACGTTTCTTAGACAAAAGTATAATTGGTCAAACAAAAATGGCGCACCTTTAAAGCGTATGACGTTAACTTATAAGACAATATTTGGTAATGGAGGCTTCAATGGTTGCTATGGTTTATAATGTAATTATGTAGCTGGTAGAGCAGCCACTAGCGTTGGTGAGCAAAAATGTTCGTACCAAATATTGTTTGAAAGTAAAATGAAACTATAAGTACCTTAACATAGACATTTCCTACTAAATGATCACCTAGATTGTCACAAACGTTCATTTCTTCTATTTCACCATACTGAAAATAGATAGCAAGTCATATAATATAGAACCCTTTGTATGAACAATATCTTCTTCAGTAACTGAAAGGGATCAGGACTTGTTTTAGCCTATGTTATCCCTCTTCCGATTTATATATACATTTCACTATAGAACCTTCCTCCAGGTATTAAAATATCTGATTCTTCCAGTAGGCCCAGCGTCTGTTTTCAAATCACAGAACATCCATTAAACAGATATATAATACATTGTAAAAATTTCAACTGCACTATCAAAAGAGTTTTTATAATTTTCAAATTCTTTGAAAAGGGCTTTAAATCTAACATTTGACAAAATAGAATTTTAATCAGTAGATTTCCATATACTGAAGCAAATAAGCTGATAATAAATTTGTTTTGAATGTGAAGTGAAAACATGACCTGAATTTATTAGTATGCTATCAATGTTAGAAAAGCTCTACTCTTGTTCACTCACCAAAAATTAAGATTTGATTATTATTATTATTATTGAAAATATATCCGTGCACATTCACTAAAAATTGGTTGAGGTGAAAGGAAAATTTGGTTAAGTTTTTCGTATCTGTGCCTCTTTAGGCTATTGACAATATGCTTTGTACATCATTAAAGGGACAGGTGCGGAATTTTGGGGGGTTGATTTTAGTCTTGAATATATGTTAATAGTCTTCAGAAGTACTAGAACTGTATAAAAATTGCACGAGGCAACATTTTAACATTCAAATGCAGATATTCTGGACACACATGGATTTGAAAGCTCAAATTTAGACGGTGAGCTGTGAACTGATTGGCTATTATGGCTAAGCATAAAACTTCCTGTTTCTAAGACTAAAATATAATTGGTCAAGAATAATGGCCCACCAGCTGATGAATAGAAAAAGTTTTAATCCAAAAGAACATATTTTTCAAGCTAGACAAAAACCACACTTTGGTTTTAGCAATGAAGAATAAAGTTAAAAAATCTTGCAAAACTTCCAGAAATGAATTTAACTGATCTGAAATTTGGGGAGATTTTGGAAGAATTATAACATAGAAATTGTATCATATAATCATGGAGATACAACTTAACACGATATATTGATGAGGCTTTTATAAACTTATTGAGATATGAGGTTAGTTATGTGTCCCACTGATTCTCCGATCTTTGGGCTACTAATAGAGGTCAGGGGTTAGTACCAGGGTTTTTGTTATTAGGGGGGTATGAGCTTCATTATCAAGCATCGTTCACGCATTTCCCTACCTTTTCCATTTCGGCATAAACTTCTTCAAAAAATTCATCATAATGTTGTTGGATCTCAAATTCATCCATTTGGACTATGAATAGAAGGATTTCAAAACTCAATAAAAATAAAATTAATAGGAGAGGGGAAGGGAGGGGGTTGGCTTCTGTCATAAACTTACAGTGTGCTATGATTTTCATTTCTCAGAATTTTACAAATTTTAGTACTTAGCTTTCAAAAAAACTATCAAATTCCCCAAATTTATAATTTGACGACGATGAATTTCTTCGTCAAGATTTTTTACTAATTAGGTAAGCCAATTAACACACTGTAATTAATCTATGACGTCTGCCAGCTCTTAAAACTAATCCTTCTCTCTGCCACCTGAAACTAAGAAAATTAAGAAAACTGTGAAAGAGTTGCTTCCCTTTGAAACAATTCTTTCCGATGAATATTCATTGAATTCTGGAAAAATTCTGTTAATTGATCTAAGAATTTTCTCATAGTTCAATGAATATTCATGAATGGAGGTCAAAGGGCGTTGACCGTACCTTGTCTTCTAATTCAGTAAATACCTCCTCGAAAAAATCATCAAATTCCTGCTGAGCTTGCATATCATCTACCAATACTGAAATAAACACAGTCCTGACTGAATGAGGCGAAGACTTATGTTTTCAGTGGAGTTATGTCTCTTGCTTTTGCTTCAAATTGACCAGGGCTGTTGATCAATCATATATTGCCAGACATTTTCGACAATGCTTCAAAGATATCTCATAAACATTTTTGATTGAAGTAAATCAACTTATAATAGGCCTAATAATAATGGTAATTATAGTACATAGGTCTGAATTGGATCCATTTCATCAATTTGTATCAAAACAAATGTGAAAACACAATCATTACAAAACCTTATAGCTATCACTTTCTTGCTAGAAAATTAACTCGTTCTGTTAAAGAGGCCTATACACATAACATAAGCCAAAATACTTTTAATTCCACAAAAAAATATCCTGTTCACTATCGTCATAACCAGACATTTTGCAAATCCTGTCAGATATGACTGGTAAATCAACAGCCCTGATCTTTCTTTAATCATACTACCACAGTCCTAGCTAAGCTGCATATTAAATTACTAAATTATTAAAAATATCCAAGCTGCATTTATATTGAAATGAAAATTAAAAAACTTGAAATATTTACAAAAATATAAGCAATTTTCTTCTTAACCATTTTTTCAAAAAAACTTTAAGGTATCTTAAAATTTGGACAGCCATATTGAATATTTAATTAAGTGTAAAATAGTCTTTCTTAAATTGAGGAAAGCCTGAATGAAGCCATTCAAATTTTTTGAGAAATTGAAAAATTAAGATTTGGAGAACATGCAACATTAAAGATATAGAAATAAACAAAAATAACAAAACAGTAAGATGACACCATTTATCTAGAAACAGAAAAAAATTAAAGTTTAAAATAAAAAATATGAAAAATACATATCTATTTTCTACAAGAATGCAGTGTACAATGAGGGAAATTTTGCCATGGCAGCAGCATTACTGATGTTTAAGAGATCTTCAACATGTATAATATAGAACCCAATTCTCAACCCCCTGGGGGTGTGACCAATTGGTGTAGGAGAAAAATTCATTTTGAGTTGGGAGAGAACGTCACGTTTGAAACGTGGATGAAACATATTTTGAGGGTGTGAAAGGATCAGATGATTGCTCCAGGGGTGTGATTGCTGAAAAAGTTTTGGAACCACTGATCAAGCATCTAGTCCAAGTTATTTTTTGCATGAAAATGAAGACTCCTTTATGGTTATTAACAACAACATAAGAGAAGAATTAATATTTAAAAGTATTACAATATTTACTTTGATAGAAATTGAAAATAAAACAGTATTAACACTATAGGAAAGTTTTAAAGTGAGACAACATACAGAGGAAGATAAATAGTTGACGACACTTATCGTGTTAAAAAAATGGAAATGGAGTTTTAAACCCTACAACACTTACTGTGAGAGCCATCTGCTGTTAAAGCTGTGTTTTGTGGATTCAAATATAAATTTAACAACAGAACAGTCTGAAATGTAGAATAGAACGCATAACAAGGTAATCAAAAAACGAGGAATAATATGACATTGAGGTCTCAAAACAGAGGAAATAGTGCTTAGCCTCGAACAGAAATGGACTCTTACTTTTCAGCATGGGCTAATGAAGACGGAAGCTATGATGCCTGAACAGAAGGAGATCAATCAATGCTTTATCATGCAGTGACTGAATGTATCAGTATGCCTATGGTGAATATGAGATTGCAAAGGTTTTTATGATTATCTACCTGACTGAATGTGGGTTTGTTGTGTAGTCGAGAACATTTTTCACCATGTCGACAAGCTCCAATTTTAAAATAAAATGAACAGTTGACTCTGTAAAAAATCAAAAAAAGTTTCCAGCTCTTATCAATGCCCTAACATTCGAAAATCTACGATTACGTTGTGTATACGACACTCCACTAACAACAAGCATGCCGCATTGTTTTACTTTGTGCATTTATCGATTTTCAGAAAATTCATTTTTATTGCAAAAAAACACTGCTCGTTAAACTACTTCTGCAATCAATCTCCCGAATTCGATATCTTCATTTTAAAATGTAAGTTTGTAAAGGATAAATTGTACTGATCTAAGAAAATCAACAATAAAACTCACTTGTCTTTTTCTGTCCCAAAAATCGACGCCAAATACTCGGCCATTTTTCTTTCTTCTGTGCCGACTTCGAACAAATTTTTAGTTTAAGCAATTACAGAAACGAACGATATGTTTAAAAATTCACTATTCTGTAAAAAGAATGAAAATTGTATTCACTTTTTCAACATTCAAATTGTTTTTTTTTTCCAAAATGCTATTTCATTGTGAATCTAATTTTTCTTTCGTTTCAGGATTTTGATTTTCATTATTTTTTTGCATCCTACACAAATATCGATGACGTCATCGCAGGTGCCCGACAGGAAGTAAATAAAATTTATGAATTTTGGGGTAAATATTTCATTTATTCATCCTAATTCGTATAAAATATGTTTCGACTTTCCCCAAATTCCTAAACTAGTCTATAAGTAAGAACAGGGAGGAGTATTTGACTAGAGTTGGGGTAGGGTATGTCGATTCCCTTCTCATTTCATAAAGAAGGAGATAAATTGAAAATAAGGGAGTTTTACGCCCTGCTCTAGACTCTACTCTCTGACTCACTCACTATTATTATTTGCCATGAAAGATGGGTTTCCTTTTTTTTTCGGTGTCAAATTAAGCAAACTCTTTGATTAGTTGGTGTTTCTAATGAATTATCATGTACAGTCTTGATAAACAAAAAACTACTTTTTGACCTTTCTTGATCTGTCACTCATTGGAATTCTGCTTGTAATTCTCTGATAAATTAGCTAATTTTCAATTAATTATGGACAAACTGATATTTTTACAAGTCATTAGAATACCTATATTTTCTATTCATATTAGTATTAACTTTCATAAATGAAAATAAGGGAACCCATCTTTAAGATGTAGTTTTAAACTGGACTAGAAGTTTAATTTTGAACTAGAGTTAACATCATCAAAGTAGACCCTAAAATAAACGTTTCTCTTATTATTTGCTCCTCATATTTCAGTCAATATATTGGTGACCAAATTTAAAACAGAATGGATTTGAGAAGAGTTCAGAATGAAGATAAATTACAACTGTGTAGAAAATATTATATTGGTGGGTTGAGTGATTCATCACATTGTTTCTTGAATAGTTTAAGTTGAAATACAGTTTTCAATAATAGTGGTTACTTCCCTTTATATAGGCAATTGTTGTGTCTATTCCTAATATATATTTATATTATTATAACAGTAGAAATACAATAACAAAGAATTTTTACTGTAAAATATTGCTCAGTACAGTATAGAAACCTGAAACATGTTGTTACTCAAGAATTTCACGCTGTGCGATCTTGAGACAAGTGACTTATTTCAGCCTGAGTCCTTACTATCATTTAACAACTTTATAACTATTATATATTACAGGAGGATTTGCCCTGCTGCCATTTCTGTGGTGTATAAACTCAATATGGTTTTTTAACGAGGCTTTCCGTAAACCTCATTATGAAGAACAACGACAGATTAAAACTTGTAAGTCTTGTCAAATTTATTTACATGTTATCTTAAATTAAAAGTAACAATGGATAAGCTCCCCTGTTTATGAGAGCATTACTTATATCAAAGTATCAGATTTTCGACCTTTGTTTCAGTGATTTCCCCCTCTTCAATTTCCACACCAGTGGTTTCCCCCCTTTTCAATTTCCACCCTAGTGGTTTCCCCCCTTTTCAATTTCCACCCCAGTGGTTTCCCCTCTTTTCAGTTTTTTCCCCTAGTAGTTTCCCCCCTTTTCAATTTCCACCCTAGTGGTTTCCCCCCTTTTCAATTTCCACCCTATTGGTTTCCCCCTTTTCAATTTTTACCCCAGTGGTTCCCCCTTTGTTAATTTCCACCCAAGTAGTTTCCTCCCTTTTCAATTTCCACCTTTAGTAGTTTCCCCCTTTTCAATTTCCTCTTCTAGTAGTTTCCTCCCTTATCAATTTCCACCCTAGTAGTTTCTTCCATTTTCAATACCACCCTTAGTCGTTTCCCCCCTTTTCAATTTTTTCCACCAGTGGTCCCCCATTTTCAATTTCCTCCCTTAGTAGTTTCCCCCCTTATCAATTTCCACCCTAAATATCAATTTCCACTCTAAACCTCCAGGTTTTTAATTAGTTAGCTATGATTTAATAAGGGGTTGAAACCACTAGAATTAAAACGAGAAAACCACTGGAGAGAAAACTGAAAGGGGTGAAACCACAACATTACGTCTCAGCTATAGTATCAATTATAGTGCATCTGAAATTATCAAGTTTTTAAAGAAAATAAATTTGCAGAGAATGTTTTTTTTTATAATTGTAGATGTAATAAGGTCTATGATAGGAACAGTGATATGGATAGCCATTATTATTGCTTGGGTCACCATCTTTCAAATGAACAGAAGTTCCTGGGGTGCCACTGCCGATTACATGTCCTTCATCATACCCAAAGGTGAGGTGTGAAGACTATGTCATATCCATGTCAGGAGGGGAGAGGATATTCCAGAATTACACAGACCATATTCATTTACTAGCGCACTCAAATGGTTTCAAACACAACTTAAAATATTTCATATTGTCTAGTCTTCAGGTTACATTACCCAAATCAAACTGATAAAAGGAGTTGTAAAGAGGATTTTTTAAATTGTTAAAGTATATCAGAGACACTGATAGCATTTACTTTCATCATTCCAATTTTTAATCAGATGAATGTGTTTCCTGTTATTCCACTCCAATGGGCCATATATAATATTAACAGCTTTTGCGAAATTGAAAGGGTCACAGACTGATTGGAAAGGTGGTGAGCCTCTTTACAATCCCTTAACATACGGCTATAAATATTTCCTATTGTTTTCTTTTTGCCAATTTTCTTCAATAAATTTCATGTTATCTGACTTGAATAACAATATTATTCCAATTGTATATTTGTTTGTAAATTTATTTTTGTAAATACAATAAAATATTTTGTATATAATGTAAAGGCCAATAGTTTTTTTTTTTATGGAGCTACCTTATTATTATCAGAATTGTTGAATTACTGCCCTTGATATAGTCAAAATATATTATATGTGGCCCATAAATATCCCAGCTTGCCCTAGTAATATCGTTTTATATACGTTTTACTTCAAGGGAAGTAACTCACCGTTTCTTTATTTGACCATTGTGCACACCTATGATTTTTTCACAAATGCAATTTTACTTAAAATGTTGAATGGTAATCAGAAAGAGATGCAGTGCCCGTCTCCCTTGACATTTGTCGCTAATTGTTTTATCGTCTGCAAGACAGAGCGTCATCATCCAATATCAGATTCATTTCCTTTCAATTGCTTGATCAGACACTTGAATGAGGTCTATATGTATATTGTTGACAATGGACACTGGACATCTTTAGTTATAGAATGCCCCATCCCGACTGTGGAGATTATTTCACCTCGGAAATGACGTCCGTCTTGAGGGATTGGGCAAATTTTATATGTTCATTCTGGGTGGGTTTGTTTAAACAAGACTGAATCAAAACTATATTCGGGGAAAATAATAAAAAAGTGAATGAAAAAAGCTCACGAACTGGACTTAACAAATGAATTAGTAACGAGACCTACCCTAAGATATTTTAGATTCATTTTGGTTTTACATGTTTTAAACCCCCCTTTGTTTGTTTGAAATCAGATCCCCTAGTTTCCGTATTTAATTTGGTATTAGCACTTTAATGACGATCTTAGTCTCGGTTATCCAAACGTATTTACCATAATAATACTATCAGCAAAGGACTGGTTCGTTAGGACAAAAAATTAGACACGATTATTCAAAAATTGACGTAATATTTTGGTAAATTATGTCTTGCATTGATTAAATAGACCTGCCCCTCCCTTGTTGACGCCCAACCGTGATAAATCTACCTGTACTGTCATATCTAGGTCAAATATGTGTCATGAAATGAATATGATGTGACCCCAACCCAGGGTTCATTTTGAGCGGTAGCGCATCGTAGTTTACTAGTCAAAATGACCCCTTTTGCGATCCAAATTTTGGATGAATAGTCAAAAATACAATTTATCATGAAGAATCAAATCAAATTATATATTTCCGTAAAAAAAAGTTCTGCGAAGAAAAGGCAACTCTCGGCAGACTCTATAATCTAAAGGAACTGTCGTCATTATAGCAAGATCGTTCTGAAGTCTGTAACTGGAACATTTTGAATAGCTACTGAATTTTTTATGAAATGCGAATCAAAATTTTACATAATTAGCTAAAACTGAAATTTGTTGTGATGGATTACTAATCAATCTCTTCAATCTAAATTTAACCCTGTCCCAACTCCCCTTTCACTTTACCAGCTGCCTTTTAGGACGACGATGGCGACTTAAAAATCTGCCCAAGCTCGTTACTATAACAACAAGGATACACAAATCATAGAAGTTTATCAAGTGAACATGGGAGGGGGTCATTTGCCCGCCTAGATCAATTATTTGTACCCACACTTTATTTCTAACACATTCAAAACTATATTTTTTTTAAGTTCTTGACCCAAAATATTTGTCAGAACGTACCGAAATAAATTCTATTTTCCAAAATTTTCTTGAGGACCCTCTCAGACGGCGTATTTTGAATCCCCACTTTAACAATCTGTCCCACATTTGTACCCACAGTCTCTAGAGGCTGGCGCCGCTATACGGGTCCAACAGCTTTGGTACAATGACAGCTTCCTACTTTCCACGAAGAAAAAGAGGAGAAAAAAAAATAAAAACAGCCAACAAAGTCTGTCAAAGGTTTCAGGCAACCAGTGGCGGCGCAAGCCTCCCAAGAGTGGGAATACAAATAGGGGACAGACTAACCCAATGGAGGGTGCGACCCGACCAGATCTTACGAAGTATCAAAAACCAAATCAACATCACAGAATCATCTAATTGAACCAAACTATCAACTACTACGACTACCAACAACTACCTAGTTTGCGATATCAGCATCCAATGGAAGCGGACATTTACTTGTCATCTACTAACCAACTAACTCAATAGGGAGACAACTGTTGAGGACGAGTTTGAAAATACGGTAGCACTGTGCCTCAATTAGTACCCTACTTTAACGATATGATTTTAAACGTCTTTGTGTCAAAATATGTACCAGAATGCACCAAATGAATTCTTTTTTTCACTCACAGACGCTCTATTGGATGATCCTTAAGATGGCGACAATTCCTGCAGATTAGTGACACCTAGTGAGTAACACCAAGAGAGGAAAAAACTGACCCAGCAGTCCAGGCCAAGTATTCGCAAAACGATCCTAGTGCTAGGATGTCTTAAGTTCTTCTCTTCTAAAATTGATTCTAGGACATCCTAGCCCTAAGATCGTTTCGAGAATACCAGGCCAGGAGTCCAGAACCGATATTTTGTCGGCGGTCGAGTAGCGATGCGGTTCGATCTGCATCATTACGTCTTCAGTATGTAAATGAGGAATAACTGCTTTTGCAGAAACTGCATTTATTTCATTTATACATTAACATTGTGAAGATGGGCCTAATTATGTCATCACTGTAAAACGTGATCGTATTAAGTTCAAGTTCAACCACCTGATGTGTCTTCAGATTCAATGACCTTCCTCAGAACAACAACATTTAATGCCAAATCGATGACGGAAATAAATAACACTATGAGAGACTTCCGGATCAATATAAGGGAGGGAATATTTTCCATTTCCCTGCAACTTTTTTGGTGGGGAGGGAGTCTGTAAAAATTGGGAGCAACAGTACAACAACGTAATTTGGATAGAGATAGAGAATATCAAAACAATGAAGGTAAGTTCGATCTATTTATTTGGAACTTGATGTGGTTGGACTGAAAAACTGAGAGCAACTACCGGCACGAGTAAACAACGTGCTAGGAATAGAATAGACGGGTTCGTTATACCTCGACTTTGTGAAGATGGGCATACGTTAGCATGTCAGCACTGTAAAACGTGATCGCATTTAAGTCGAGTTCAAGTTCAACCACCTGAGAGCAACATGTTAGGAATAGAAACAGGTAGTAAATAACATTACTTGAGACTTCCGGATCAATATAATAGAGTGAATGTTCGCTCAATTGCTCTGCAAACTTAAAGGAATACTATGTCTTAGAATCAACATACAATTTTAGAATTTAAAACTTGGCCAATAAGAACATATATTCTTCAGTAGGTATACCTGGTGTCATAAATAACATAACAAGATCCTTATATAATCCGATAAATCCAAAAAACCTAGTAATTATCCATAAATATGCAATTAACTATTGAAAAACGCTTAATATCAAGATTAAGCGTTTTTCAATAATAAGGCCTACTTAGTTTTAACAATTTTCCAATTTTACAGATTTTACAGGGATTCTGTTGTAACTTTATGACACCAGGTAAGTTCACTGATGAATATATACTCATATTGAGAACTTGAGAACTTAAATTTTATGTTCATAAGACGCACCTTCACTATCCGTTCGACCAATCATACCTTAGGAATTATTTTAGCTTACACAATCAGTAAAAAAAAAACACAATGACGCATCTGAGGGGACATCAAATGACGATGAATTGTTTTACCAGACATAAAACCTCCATGATGTATGTATCCGAGGCGACATAAAACCACAATGATGTATCTGAGGCGACAAAAAATAAACCACAATGATGTATCTGAGGCGACTAAAAACCACAATAATGTATGCGAGGAGACATAAAACCTCAATGATGTATCCGAGGCGACATAAAACCACAGTGGTGTATCTGAAGCGACAAAAAACCACAATGATGTATCCGGGGCGACATAAAACCACAATGATGTGTCTGAGGCGACAAAAAACCACAATGATGTATCCGAGGCGACATAAAACTACAATGATGTGTCTGAGGCGACAAAAAACCACAATGATGTATGTATCCGAGGCGACATAAAACTACAATGATGTGTCTGAGCCGACATAAAACCACAATGACGTATCTGAGCCGACATAAAACCACAACGATGTATCTGAGCCGACATAAAACCACAACGATGTATCTGAGCCGACATAAAACCACAACGATGTATCTGAGCCGACATAAAACCACAATGACGTATCTGAGCCGACATAAAACCACAACGATACATCTAAGGCCAAAAAACGAGATGGAAAGATCTGAAGGAATGTCAAACGTCTATACAATGTTTTAGTAGACATGAAACAACAATGAAATATCTGATGCGACATATAGATAGTCGATCTATTCAAAAATAGGTTCGAATTTTACACAAACATCTCTTCTGAAATGGGGAAACAACCTAGCAAGTCAAATATAAATTTGATAGGCATATACTCTCCAATGTATATTTATAAAGGTGCATCCTAAAGGTGCGAATAGGCGGAACGGGATTGTCGATATAGTACAAAATAGAAAAAATGAATCGTGTCAGCAACGTGTCCGGACACGTGCCTTGTGTCTTCTTCTATTTTCGTTTTCATTGATTGTTTGTATCGATTATTCCGCACCGGTCTCCGTACCTCGTCTATATATTTTCAACTTTGCAGGGGTTTTTCAACTTGGGGGTAATGAGACCCTACGTAGTCTAGCATAAAATTCTATCATTCTTTTCTCTGACACGAAAAATATTCACCGAATGTTAAGGATTTATGGGGGAGGGAAGTCTAAGAAACATGGAAAAACGTCTAGTCGTTCGGATGGGACAATAAACCGAGGCCCTGTGTGCTACAGGCTGTGCACGTTAAAGATCCCTCGACAGTTGGAAATCGAAAAAGAGCAGGCTAATGCTGCTGTCCTGGCAAAATTTCCCTCATGGCACCCTTCATGGCGTTACCCGTCTTCATTAGCCCACATTGTGCAGAAAAGTAGGATGTAAAACTCCATTCGTTTCATTTCATTTCATTTCTGTTGAATAGTAACTTGTTACCTTTCAACAACCCTAATCCCTATATCAATGGTAAGGAATTGGAAAGTTTCGTTGATGATTATTTAAGGAATGACCTGAACATTTTTTCAGTTTATCGATGTATAAACAGAAAAAAACCTGTGTACACTGTATACATCTGCGTAGCGGTTTTTTTTCTGTTTATACATCGATAAACTGAATATCTGTTCAGGTCATTTCTTATAATTAAATCAACTCGAATACGTGTTTAAATATTACAACTTAAGGCACTAAATTGGCGCATAAATACATAACATTTTAACATAACATTAATGAACTGATACTAACAATAGCCAATCAGCAATAAGGTCACCCTATTTATTGTCTACTGTCTTCTGCGTTAAAGTTGACGTAGCGGCCACGCTGAAAGTGCAAAAAAAAAATTGAAGGAACGACATCGAGGCCGTGTAGTGGCCACGTCAATCAAACTCAATGATAAAAGTAGTCCATTAAGGGGCAGAGCTTAATTTTACATTCCGTTGACACAGATATAACCGTGACCGCTGTTATCCAATCAAATTGCGTGATACTGTGTAAACGGAATAAATAGTCTTCAGAAGAATTAGAATTGTTCGAAAATCACATAATTCCTTCAAAAATACACCAAACGAGGACTATCAGTTTCTATTTCGATACATGTCTTTTCTATTTATGGCAGCGTCTCAAGATATGACGAGTCGTCATTTCAACTTTCAAATTTCCACGGTGTGTTGTCAAGTCTACTACTGATTCCCCTTTCTGAGATGAAGGTACGATTGGTCAAACGGAAGGCGAACCCGTCCATTTAAGATACCGAACAATTTAATGGTCGAGACCGTATGATATTTTGCCCCTAGTTATATCATGGGCCGAGAATGAAACACAATTTTTTCACTTACTACCTATGGCCTCTGTGATAGAAGACCCTTTCCTTCCTTTCCTCTATCGTCTTATGAACCAACAACCCCCCGCCCCCGCCACCCCTACTCCTCTCCCGGTGCCTATGGTCTCAGTGATATACCCCCTATCTCCTTCCCTCTTTCTATTTTCTTATGAACACCCCCCTTCAGGGTCTCTATGTTATACCCCTTCTCCCTCCTCCATCCCTCTCTGAGAAATAATACGCCCCTGAGTTTCGATCCATGTTGAATAGGATACCAAGTTGACAATCCAAGTCGTAGTGGGCATGCGGTGTCCAGTGACTTGCCACTACCTTATGGGCTAATGGGCTAATGGGCTAATGGGCTAATGAGGACGAGCAACACCATGCGGGGGGTATAGGAGAGGTCAGTAAGAATGTCATAAAGGTGGTTTGCGTATCACATAACGTTCAAATTTAGCAGTTGTAAGAGTGGTTTGTCCGACCAATTATACTACGTAAGTCATGCATGTGTCCTTAGCTGATTTCTGATTTCTCCTATAAGAGCTTTGTTGACAGGTCAACGGCATTAAGCTACTTTTTTTCGATTTTCAGCTATCGAGGGATCTTTACCCACTACCTCACAACATAAACTGAAATAGACAAGGAAAAAAACAAATATGAAACAGAGCAGGTATTTATTTAATAGTTTGTGTGACCTTCATTTGCCTATATATGGAAAATTTTAACAGATTCTAGTTATCAATTTCTATATATAAATATATATATAGTCAAGGTTTACTCAATTCAACTATGTCCTACATTTTTGACACTTTATAAAAATCTATAAATAACCCGCCTAGACACGAGTTATTTTGGAGTAGAAAATCACCAGAGCGAGACTATACTCGTTCATTCATAATCTTCTTATTTCACAGTGACGAAATTCCATTCATAAAACAACGTCATTCATTTCTGGTTCAGTCATGCTAAATGTATTGTCCTAATATGGCTTTATGACACTATTGTCTGTTATTGCTACAATCCTTAGCTGACCCAGTTTTTTACTTTCGTAGAGTAATCCTGTCATAACTAATCTTATGTTAGTCAAAGATATAAAACTCCAATTCACAAATAATTTGAATTGAGTTGAATTAAGTTTTATATATCACAAGGTACTGAACATAATAACATATTATATAACTAATTACATTTCATTTCATCAGTCCAATAAGATATAGAACAGTAGGATATAAAACTCCATTTCATTTCATTAGTCCAATAAGATATAGAACAGTAGGATATAAAACTCTATTTCATTTCATTAGTCCAATAAGATATAGAACAGTAGGATATAAAACTCCATTTCATTTCATTAGTCCAATAAGATATAGAACAGTAGGATATAAAACTCTATTTCATTTCATTAGTCCAATAAGATATAGAACAGTAGGATATAAAACTCCATTTCATTTCATTAGTCCAATAAGATATAGAACAGTAGGATATAAAACTCTATTTCATTTCATTAGTCCAATAAGATATAGAACAGTAGGATATAAAACTCTATTTCATTTCATTAGTCCAATAAGATACAGAACAGTAGGATATAAAACTCTATTTCATTTCATTAGTCTAATAAGATACAGAACAGTAGGATATAAAACTCTATTTCATTTCATTAGTCTAATAAGATACAGAACAGTAGGATATAAAACTCTATTTCATTTCATTAGTCCAATAAGATATAGAACAGTATGATATAAAACTCTATTTCATTTCATTAGTTCAATAAGATACAGAACAGTAGGATATAAAACTCTATTTCATTTCATTAGTTCAATAAGATACAGAACAGTAGGATATAAAACTCTATTTCATTTCATTAGTCTAATAAGATACAGAACAGTAGGATATAAAACTCTATTTCATTTCATTAGTCTAATAAGATACAGAACAGTAGGATATAAAACTCTATTTCATTTCATTAGTCTAATAAGATACAGAGCAGTAGGATATATAACTCTATTTCATTTCATTAGTCCAATAAGATATAGAACAGTAGGATATAAAACTCCATTTCATTTCATTAGTCCAATAAGGTATAGAACAGTAGGATATATAACTCCGTTTCATTTCATTAGTTCAATAAGATACAGAACAGTAGGAAAGTATGAAGCCCCATTTTGTTTCATTTTAAGCTATATTCATATAATTTTGTACGCTGTGACATTTTTCTTTCAAAACAGCCATGGGAATAGAATTTTCTAGAAATAGTTTTGATTGCTTGATAAAATTATTTAAGTCCATGAATAGCTATCAATCAAATCTTAGACCACGCCTTGACTTTTAACTTATTCACTCAAGAAGACAAGTCATGTTGTCGCCTGACAAGAGTAGCGTACTAATTCTACGAAGACGTAATCGGATGTTTCCGGTTAATTCCGCCTCTTTACGTCAATTTCCGCTTGGTACGCGTTGTATTGGCCGAAATCTAAAAATACCATTGTGGGACATGGGAAAACTAAAAAGATTTCCTCCTAGGACTGATTTCGCCCATTTCTGCTACATTAAGATAAAACGAAGTACTTTTATATAATAAATCGTCTTTATTAACTGGTTAACTTTGTTTACTTGTCCCACTCATGCCATTGTTTAATTACAACTACTAAGATTT